TCTTGTCAGAACTATGGCTTGCCCAAGGTCATCCAGCCAGGTGCAAGTGGAGGAGTGGGGAATCAAACCCGGTTCTCCCAGATTAGAGTCCGCGCACTTCACCACTGCACCAAACTGGTGATGAAGAAGAAGAAGAGGAGGAGGAGGAGGAGGAAGAGGAGATTGGATAATGAAGAAGAAGAGATTGGATTTATACTCCGCCCTTCACTACCCAAGGGAGTCTCACAGCGGCTTACAAACTCCTTTCCCTTCCCCTCCCCACAACAGCCAACCTGTGAGGTCGGTGGGGCTGAGAGAGCTCTTGACAAGAAACTGCTCTTTTTTCAAGAACAGCTCTTATCAGAACTATGGCTTGCCCAGGGTCATCCAGCCAGGTGCAAGTGGAGGAGTGGGGAATCAAACCCGGTCCTCCCAGATTAGAGTCCGCGCACTTAACCACTACACCAATAGAGGAGAAGCGAGAGGTTTGCTCGTAAATTCACTTCATACTCCATGGCCTTCGGTGTGCGCGGGAGGAAATTCCCATGAAGACTGGCGGAGCGGCCTAAAACAGGAAGGCACACCTTGAAAGCGACACAGGAGGAGGAACAACAGACGATTCCATCTGTTTAACTCCGCTTTGCTTGCAGTTCAGATCAGCACATCTGAGCCCACTGGCGGGGGGAGGGCGGGATAGAAACCAAATGAAATAAACAAAATAATAAATGAATCTTGGGTGGGGGTGCAAAGTGCCGTCAAGTCGCAGCCGACGTATGGCGACTCCATGGGACAGGGGCATCAAACATAATGTCCGGGGGGCAGAACTGATGTAGTGGTTCAGTGTGTGGACTCTAATCTGGGTGAACCGGGTTTCATTCTCCACTCCTCCACATGCAGTTGCTGGTGTGACCTTGGGTCAGTTACAAGTTCTTTCAGAGCTGTTCTCTCAGGAGCAGTTCTTGAAAGAGCTCCCTCCGCCCCACCTATCTCACAGGGTGTCTGTTGTGGGGAGGGGAAGGGGAAGGAGTTTGTAAGCCGCTCTGAGACTCCTTCAGGTAGTGAAGGACAGGGTATAAATCCAATCTCCTCCTCCTCTTCTCCTCCTCCTCCTTTCCCTTCTTCTCAAACCTATATGTAGGGGTTGGCAAAGTCTGTTCCAACGTATCTGAAGACGTGTGCATGCACACCAAAGCTTATATCTAGAATAAAACTTTGTTGGTCTTAAAGGTGCCGCTGGACTCCAACTTTCCTCTAGTTCAGTGGGACACAAAAGCTCACTCACTACTTTGTGACATTTTATTTCATCTGAACAAAACAGGGGGAGGGACCCTTCCAGACTCGAGCAAGGCCTCAGCTAGCATGATTCAACATCCAGCTATTATTCTTCCCCGAGGCTGAAACCCTGTACTTGGCACCAAAAGCACGATTTCTCAACTGGTGGGGTTTTTTTTAGCAATGTGCAAAGTGTATGTGTCTTTGTCTGTTGAGGGGAGGGGGATATTTGTAGAGAAAAGGCTGTTTTTGGGTCGTGGATGTTTAACCCTTCTCTTACCCACCACTTTTCATTTGCAACCCCTCCTCTTAGCTCTTACATCTATCACTTTTAAAATCCCTATCGACTTCAGACACCTTACAGGCAACGCTCCCTCTAAGCCAGTGATGGCAAACCTTTTAGAGACCGAGTGCCCAAATTGCGACCCAAAACCCACTTATTTATCGCAAAGTGCCAACACGACAATTTAACCTGAATACTGAGGTTTTACTTTAGAAAAAACAACTCATATATTAACTTAAGGTGATCCAAACAAAGTAAGGAAAGCAATCCCAAATGCTTTCATTGACTTAAAATTATTTGGCAGAGAATTCGACACTTTAATGATGGTCTGGGCCTGGCTGGGGCGATGGCACACATGCCCACAGAGAGGGCTCTGAGTGCCACCTCTGGCCCCCGTGCCATAGGTTCACCACCACTGCTCTAAGCTCTGGAGTCTTGTGAGCAAAAATTCTACTTTGTGAGCTGCTGGCATTAAAGTTCTGAGCGAGCGATTGGGCTACTGCATAGATTAGTTTGCTCTGGAGCCCTCCTTCCTGAGCTAAGACAAAAACCTGTGAGCTGGAGGCTACAAAACTGTGAGCTAGCTCACACTAACTCAGCTTAGAGGGAACACTGCTTACAGGGTGTCTGTTGTGGGGAGGGGAAGGGGAAGGAGATCGTAAGGCGCTCTGAGACTCCTTCGGGTAGTGAAGGGTGGGGTATAAATCCCATCTCTTCTTCTTCTTCAGCCCAAGAGCAACTGGTGCTAGGGAGGGAACACGAGACTTTGGTGGAGTGGGCAGAGACACTACGATTGTGGCTGCCCATATAGGTTTTCATTGCATCCCCCTCGGAGCCCATGGGGTCTTCCAGTGAGGATACACTAACTTGAAGCTTACCAGCTGCTGTTATTTATACAGTTTATATCTCCGGTACCGGGCATGACGTTTATGGCACAGACGGCCTGGCCCAACAGAATGACATTTATGTCAGATCCGGCCCTCGTAACGAATGAGTTCAACACTTCTGGCATAGGGTTTTCAAGGCAAGAGACGTTCAGAGGGCGGCTCCCCATTGCTGACTTAGCAGTGGCTGCCACCTGGGCCTCCATAGTTAGCGAGGAGTCCAGGAGCACTCCCAAACTCCTAACCTCCGGCGCTGGCACCAAAGGCGCCCCGCTGAAGTTCGGGAGAGGGAGCCCCAACCCCGGACCGCCCCGACTCAGGCCCAGGACCTCCGTCTTCGCCGGGTTTAGCTTCAGCTGACTCAGATGGAGCCAACCAGCCACGGCCTGCAACGCCCAGTGCAGATCTTCTGGGCTGGAGCCCGACCGGCCGCCCAACATCAGATAGAGCTGGGTGTCATCTGCATATTGATGACACCCAAGCCCACACCTCCGGGCGATCTGGGCAAGGGGGCGCATGTAGATGTTGAACAACAACGGGGAAAGCACCGCCCCTTGAGGCACCCCGCATTCAAGCGGGTGTCTCCGGGACTGTTGTTCCCCTATCACCACCCTTTGTCCCCGACCTTCTTCTTCTAGCCCATCCCCGTGTCCTCTTACAATGACTTCCCCTCCCTTCTCCTCCCAAACTAATTAATCCTAATCTTTCCGATCCAAGTGTGCCGTTGACAGAAAGAAGGCAGAAGGAAGGGATGATACGCCAGGCGTGCACGTAGGCACCAAAAATTGTTTCGGGACAACGAGATCGCTTGCTCTAGTAAGCCAAGACACTCGATACTGTCGAGCCACAATCGTTCTTAACCAGTCTGGGGAGAGCAGCTAGTTGGCAGTGACAGGAAGTGGTGGGGAGGGACGGTGCTTTCCGGGAACACGCCCATGGTAACAGGTCGTGCTGCACCTTGAGATGGAAAATGAGGTGGAAGGATGGAGGATTCCAGTTTAGGACTCCAGGTGAGGAGCAGCTCTTTTGAACGTCCTCTATGTGAAAAGCTTCTAGGCTGGTCCTTTTCGCATTCGCCTGCCACTCCGGAATTTCTCAGGGTTCAATTCAAGGCAATTTAAGTCCAGGGCGAAACAGCATCCAAGAGCCAGTTTGGTGTGAGAGCCAGTTTGGAGTAGTGGTTAAGTGCGCGGACTCTACTCTGGGAGAACCAGGTTTGATTCCCCACTCCTCCACTTGCAGTTGCTGGATGATCTTGGGTCAGTCACAAGTTCTCTCGGAGCTGTTCTCTCACGAGCAGTCCTCGAAAGAGCTCTCTCAGCCCCACCTGCCTCACAGGGTGTCTGTTGTGGGGAGGGGGAGGGAAAGGAGTTTGTCAGCCACTCTGAGACTCCTCTGGGTAGTGAAGGGCGGGGTATAAAGCCAATCTCTTCCTCTTCTTCACTTTCCTTATCTCTCCTTGCTGTTCTCTGGAAATCTGCATTCAGTTGGGTAAATCTTTCCTTTTCGCCTTTGCCTTTCGCTTTCCTTCTTTCCTCTGCTACTTGTAAAGCCTCATCAGACAGCCACTTTGCTTTCTTGCATTTCTTTTTCTCTGGGATGGTGGTGATTGCTGCCTCCTGTACAATGTCACGGACCTCCGTCCATAGTTCTTCAGGCACTCTATCTATCAAATCCAGACCCTTGAATCTATTCTTCACCGCTACTGTATATTCATCAGGGAAGCCAGAACTCCAGAAGCCCTCCCACTGTTCATTCAGGAAGGCCTCCTTATCTCTGTCTGAGGCAGTGGGGCAACAGCAGGAGGACTTCTGGAGTTCTGGCTCCACTGGTGGACCTCCTGATGGTATCTGGGCTTTGGCCACTGTGTGACACAGAGGGTTGGACTGGAGGGGCCACAGGCATGATCCAACATGGCTTCTCTTATGTTCTTATGTCTGGAACAGTGATGCTCTGTCTTCTTGGTGCTTGGGGGGGGCACTGGCATGATCCAACATGGCTTCTCTTATGTCCTTAAGCTTAAACTGGAAGTGACAAGGGATACTCTAGCATTTCTTGAGGACTCTATGGTAAAACCACAGAGTTTTTGAGAAATACCAGATCATCGCTGGTGACATGCTGACATTCCAGGCGTACAGGAAATTACATAAGTATGTCACCACCGTGATGGCAAAAGTGAGCTGCCCCCTGCATGATAAATCTCCTGGAATTTGTCAAGCGGGGCCCGGCAACCCTAACTTTTCTACTGTTGCTTTACGTGAGGGTATTATAGATGGTTATGACTTAGAGAGTTGCTACCACAGGGAGGTCATTCTAGGGTCAACAAAAAGTTACGCATTAAGGACGTTCGACTTTGTCAACGGTTTCTATAAATTAAAGTCCCGTACACATTTAATTTCTGGTTCCAGTGTCCCAGCTTTTCGTTTCTTCAGAATCGACTTATACAATTTCCCTTTTGAATTTTCTAAGGTCTTGTGCAAGTGGCTCTGTTGAGACAAGCCAATGCCCTACACCTTGGTGGGAATAAAGCCAATGACCACATTCACCTCCGCCCAAACTCAGAAGAACGCGAGAGGACTTACATGATGAATGCCGTTACGCCAATGGCCCAGATGTCAGTCTGCGGGACTGCTCCTTTGTCCGACAGCAGTTCTGAAGCTGTGAAGAGATGTTTGTGTTAGGAAATCTCTCTTCAGGACATGGCCAAGTATGGGGCTTGCAAATAGTCAAGGGTGGCTCAGGGCCAATCAAGGAAGGGAACCTACTTAACAAAGAAGCTCAGAAAAGTCTCACCCCTGTCTCTTTTCGTCAGGCACATGGCCACGGGGGCATTTGGGGGCAATGCCCCCCAACAGATGAGTGCTGCCCCCCGACAGGGTTTTTTTTAAACCCAGAATATTTTTAATTGATTTTAAAAAAAAGAAATGTAAGATGCAGGTGGGTGTTCAAAAATGACCCCAGGAGCAGTCAGGGAAGCTTCAGTCTATTCCCTCCCCCCCTTTTTTTTTCCAGGCCCAAAAAACAAATGTTTCTAAGAATGCAATAAAAATAAAACTGCAAAAATAAAAATAAAATTGCAAAATGCAAAACAGAGAGTCAGAGATCCCCCCCTCCTCCCTGGCTTACACAGAAAAGCAGCCCGGAATCGAGTCTCTCCAATCGAAAGGAGGAGTAGAGGAAGACCGGAGGGGTCGCAGTGGAGCCAGAGCTGCAAGAGGAGCAGCAGGTGGGGCCGGGTTGCCCCCCCCCCTGATTTCCGCACGCCCCACCAACTAATTTTTTTTGGCTATGTTCCTGTTTTTCCTCCCTCTTCTTTCTGACAGGAACTGGAAATCAGTGTGTGTGTGGGGAGGCAGTGAAGGTGAAGGAGGCAAAGCTGACAGTGGGTCTTTCAAGGAGGAGGATGCGGGAAGAAGTGAGCAATGCTGCCCCAGCTAAATCTCGTTGCTGTGACTAAAGGAACAGCGTGTGCCATTCGCTTTCACTTTCTGACTTCATCATAGCTAACTGGCTATGCCAGGAAAAAGGATAATTGAGCAGGGTGTGTTACCGAGACAGCTGCGTGCTTTGTTGCGGTTGTGTGCAGCTCTTTGGACTAATCTACACATCTGAGCTTGGGCCGGGTTCTGTGGGAGGGAGAACCCAGGCTTTGGAAACTGAAGGACTCTGGGTCGGTCCCAGGAACCACCCATTAAAAACGCCTCCAGTGTCAGGGTAGCAAAAAACCTCTGCCTGCCGTAGGAAGTGGTGGCAGCTACAAGCATAGACAGTCTCAAGAGGGGATTGAATAAACATACGGAGCAGAGGTCCATCTGTGGCTTTCAGCTGCAACGTATAAGATGGAACAATCTGAGGCAGTGATGCTCTGTATTCTTGGTGCTTGGGGGGCAACAGTGGGAGGGCTTTTGGAGTTTTGGCCCTCCTGGTGGGCCTCCTGATGGACTCTTGGTTTTGGGCACTGTGTGACACAGAGTGTTGGACTGGATGGGCCATTGGCCTAATCCACCATGGCTTCTTTTATGTTCTTACGAATAAACATATGGAGCAGAGGTCCATCAGTGGCTATTAGCCACAAAGTATAGATGGAACACTCTGTCTGGGGCAGTGATGCTCTGTATTCTTGGTGCTTGGGGGGTAACAGTGGGAGGGCTTCTGGAGTTCTGGCCCCGCTGGTGGAGCTCCTGGTGGCACCTGGCTTTCGGCCACTGCGTGACACGGAGTGTTGAACGGAACGGGCCACTGGCCGGATCCAACATGGCTCCTCTTATGTTCTTATGAGACTTTGGAGATTCACTGCTAATCAGAACAGACTGAATTAAGCTAGGCAGACCAATAATCTGATTCAGTCTGAGGGATCTTCTGTTTCCACCTGCTTCGATTCTGAACATGACCTTCCAGATCCTGAATCAATCCCTTACTGGTGCCACACTCACAAACCAGTGGCGAGTTGCACTTACCCATCGTTTCCACATAGTCTGTGCACCCCTCCAGAGTGATCGCTCTGTCTGGGGAGTAGAACTGGGCACTGCCAAAGTCCAGGAGTTTAAGTAGGTTCGGTTCAGTAATAATCATGTTTTCAGACCTCAGATCCAAGTGCAGGATGCTCTGAGCATGAAGGAACTCAACGGCGGTAAGTATCTGCCACAGGTAGTCTCTGATGTCCACCTCTGAATAGGAGGACCTAAGTAAAGGAGAGCCCATTAGAACCCAAATATTCCATAAATGCTGCTACGCATCAGCTGGAAAGCTTAGAAATTCTAGACCAGGGTCCCCAACCTTCTTTCAGCCTGTGGACACCGAAGAAGAAGAAGAAGAAGAGGAGGAGGAGGAGGAGGAGATTGGATTTATACCCCACCCTTCACCACCCAAAGGCATTTCAGAGCAGCCTACTTTCCCTTCCCCTCCCCACAACAGACACCCTGTGATTAGGTGGGGCTGAGGGAGCTCTTTCAAGAACTGCTCTTTCAAGGACAGCTCTGAGAGAACTTGTGACTGACCCAAGGTCACACCAGCAGCTGCATATGGAGGATTGGGGAATCAAACCCGGTTCTCCCAGATTAGAGTCCGCGCTCCTAACCGCTACCCCAAACTGGCTGTGGAATTCCGACACAGCGCGGTGGGCACAACTGCAAAATGGCCGCTGCAGGAGGAGGAGCCACACACCAACCCAGAAGAAGTCCAAGCGGAGGGGAGAAGGGCATTTTAAAAATACACTGAGGAAGAGAGAATGAAAACCAACGGCAGTAGCAGCTGCTGTGGAAGCTACATTATTTTAATCTACACAGCCAACGGAATCTCCGATGGCCTATCAGAATCTGCGCTGGGCGAGAGCTCCACCTGGCTCTACCCACTTTCTGAAAACACTTGGTGGATGCCAGGTAAGTTTTCATTGGGGGCCATCGTGCCCACAACGGTTGGGGACCGAAGTTTTCATTGGGGGCCATCGTGCCCACAGGCACAGTTCTGGACTGAAATAAAACTGTAAAGGCATTTTCTGATAGTGCTGAATCTGAAAAAAAGACTATTTGTAGTACTGGGAGAAAATCATTGGCAGGAGTCCTAGATCTAAAATCAAGTTCAGTTTTTAAACATGTGGATTTTCTTTTTCTCCCCCTTCCATCAGTGACATTTTTCAGTTCTGTTGATTTGGGGTGGGGGGGAGATTTTTGCCCCCCCCTTTCGGCTATTAGTTTTCTTGGAAATCAACCCTGCCAGGAGCCCAAGCAAGGAAGCAGAATTCTAGCCACAGTCGGGGCGACCACAGCCTCGAGAAAACCCCTCCCGCCGAGATTACGGCTCCTTCCCACTGCACTCATGGCTAGGCACTCCTCCAAAACAGGAGTTGCTTCATGCTTCTGAAATTTCCAGTTCGGGCAGCTCCCCGAATGGAGCTGATGTCACAACAGGACTTCTGGCCCACAGGGCCTTTCCCCTAATCTGTTTGAACTTCCGATGTTTTGTAGGCCTTCGACTTTGTTCAGCTTTCCCGGTATCTTTGCACGAACCTTGCTACAGACATGGGGGCTTCGAGAGGAAAACAATGTATTCTAGCCAGGCGAAAACAGGCCCCCGAATTTTCCGAGCTGGTTGTCGACAGAATGGGCCGAACTTAATGCGAACACGAGTTACCTTCCCGCCAGGGCGTGAAGCAGCTCGGGGCCCACGCAGAGCTCCAGGATCAGGACCAGGTGGCGTGGGCTGACGTAAGCCCCCTGCAGTTGTCCAATGTTGGTGTGGTGAAGCTTCCTGAGGATCTGGTACTCCTGAAGCACCAGCTCCTTGTCTTCCGCTTGGTAAGGGATTATTTTGGCCGCCAGGGCGTTCCCGCTGAGCTTCTCTCGGCACTGCTTGATGATGCTGAAGCGTCCTCTGCACCGGCAGAAACAAAACACACACGCAAGCAAAGCTGAATGCTGGCACGGCAATGAAGAATGAGAAATGAACTGCTGTCAGGTCACGCAGCTGACTCATGGCAACCCCTCATGGGGTTTTTCAAGGCAAGAGATGAGCAGAGGGGGTTTTGCCTGCCTCTGCGTAGCAACCCTGGACTTCCTTGGTGGGCTTCCATCAAAGTACTAACCAGGGTGGACCCTACAAGGCCGCCTCACCCACTAGGCGAACTAGGCATTCGCCTAGAGCGCCGGGCCCTGGATGGGGTGCCAAGCTGTGCCTCCCCCTTCCCCCCCTTTGGTGGTGGTGGCGACAGCAAAAGGGTGGATGGCTCCAGAGGTCTCCAGGCCTCACCGGGAGGTTGGCATCTGCACCATAAGGCAGCCTTGCCTAGGGCGCAGAAACACCTTGAGCCGGCCCTGCCCGCATAGCTTCTCAGATCTCATTAAATCAAATTAATTATCATGAGGCGTGGTGTGCAGGAATAGCCAGGAGATCCTAAGATTGTCTGGCAGCCAGAAATTCTAGCTCTTTTTTTTAAAGCGTTTATTTATTTATTTATGTATTTATTTATTTATAGTCAAATCTATACCCTGCCCTCCCCACAAAGCAGTCTCAGGGCGGAATTAAAGCACAATTAAAATAGTACATTACAAATGTTACAAAGTACTGGTGGCAGTTAAAAATAAACAAATGAGAGGTTTTCAAATGAAAGTGCTTTGATGTTATTCCACATAAGCGTTTGGTTGTTATTTTGCTTGTTCTTGAGGTACCTGCTGATGTCAACATTACGGGCCATGCACTAAGGCGGCGGCGGCCCCTAGTTATATGCCTGGCGGAAGAACTCCGTCTTGCAGGCCTGGCGGAAGAACTCCGTCTTACAGGAACTGTGAGAGGTCCCGCAGGGCCATGATCTCCTCCGGGAGCTCATTCCACCAGGTAGGGGCCACCACCGAGAAGGCCCCGGCCCTAGTAGCAGCTAGCCTGGCCTCCCTCAGGCCAGGGAGGGTCAACCAAGTTATGTGCCACTATGTGGCAAACTAGGCTTGTTTTTGAGGCAAGAGATGTTTCAGAGGTGGTTTCCCATTGTCTGCCTCTGCATCACATCCCTGGTATTCCTTGGAGGTCGCCCTTCCAAATACTAGCCAAGGCCAAACTTGCTTAGCTTCCAAGATATGATGAGATCAGGTCAGGACACAATCTGTATGGGATCAGGCTGGGTTGGGCCATCCAGGTCAAGAGATAACCAAATATCTCACAGCAAATTCATCCAAATGCCCTTT